TTGTCATATCTGATTCAACTTGAAGAGAAAGGGTGTCTGTTCATTCTCTTGGCTCTATTCAAGAGTATCTCTTGGTACCACATTCCTCGACTTCACTTGGATGTCTGAACCTGTTTTATATATTTGGTTTCAATTTCAGGGACCTTCAGAACAAAGTGGCAAAACACATCTTGCTTTCCCGGGTTAAAAAAAAAAATCTTAGCCTTGGCTACTGTGACTAATCATCTCCATTCTCCCCCACCCCATTCTCAGCCTCATTTCCATAGTCATCTTCCATATCTTCCATGCATTTTTACATTGCCATACAGAGCGGAGGCAGGATGCTCACACCTGTTTTCTAGTTTATTAATTCTCTCTTCAGCTCTGCCTACTCCACCTTACAATTCCCCCAAGTAGTCAAACTAAAAGATTCGGCTCATTTCTCACTCTTTTGTCTTGCAATCATTTTATAACAGCCACTTCTTACATTAGGTTCCTTTTCTTTTGAAACCTATTTAATGGTTTCAAACACACCTGATACCTATGCCAGTCTGTGTCTAATGCTATGCTTGGTTGCTCTGATGTTCTCTCCCCACTCCCTGGCAGTGTGTTCACATGGTATAATGCTCTCCTCTTATTGAAGGTGGAGGTGGTTTGTCTGTAGAGAAGGAAGGGGCTGTGGTTTTAACCCAGAGCACTTGGGCCCTGACTGAGTCGAAAGAGCTTTCACATGAAGCTCATTCCACTTCTCTTCCTCATATGGGTGGGAGAAATAAGGGCTGTAGTCTTGCTTGGGACATCATTTACAGTGAATAATGTGTTCTACCAACAGCCTCAGGTTGGTAATGCACATTGTCAGTCTGTCCTTGGTCAGTATCTTTATAGCTCTTTCCACATTGGTATTGAAACTTCTGAAAGTCTGGGTTTACTGTGAAGGGACTCATTTGCATGTCTCTACCACCCAGGATTGGAAGGCACAAGCCATACATTATATCTGCTCAGGTGGTCAGAACTACATCTTCACCCAGGCCTTTCACTGTTCAGTCTCAGCTCGTGCTTATCCTCCTACCCTGGATGTGCATGTCTGTCTGTCTGTCTTTCTATCTTTCCCTCTCTCCCTCCTTGCTCTGCTACATTGAAAGGATTCCTGTTATGGGCTCTGTATCACCTTTCCGGGCTTTGATGGAGAAAAGAGACCTTCTGCATCAGCCTAGGTTTCCTAAGTCCTGATCTCTGGTGCAAACTTTTAAGTCCACTTCCCTCACAACCCCAGCAAGTTCTTTCAGGTTTGCATCCAACCATGAACTATCCCATGTTCCTGGAAGACAGGCTGCCTGGCAAAGGCCTCAGTTCCTAGGCAACGCTAATTCTTTTGGAGTGCCTGGCTCATGTCGAGAACTTAATAAAAGCTGGTTATCTTCTATTCACTATCCAAGAACAGTAGTCGAGAAAGGCCACTGTTACCCAAAGCACAGAATTAAAAGGTACACCCTTAAAGAGAGCGCACATATAGCAATCATTTCCTCTCACTCTAATGAGGCACAATGGGCTGTGGGCGGGACAGAAAAGCTTCTGTGTCCGTTTTTCTGGGAGAGCACCTGACTCATTACCCCCATTGTTTAGAAGTCTTGAAACCCCAGGATGGATGACACCCATTTATTGAGGGTGAAGAGCAGTGGGGGGGACTTTCCATTGTTCAGAATCACTTATGGGGAAATCTTGAATTTCTTGTACAAAAACCTCAAAGGCAAACTGCCCCCAAGTACATTACTTCTTAGTCATGCTTTAATGAGTAGAGGAAGGCAGAAATAAAAGATTCTACATGTCTGAACAAAATTCTCAGAGCAATGTGTACTTTGTTTGCACCACCACCACCACCACCACCATCATCATAAATAATAATAAAGTCAGAAAATGTTTTACCTTGTAGTTTTAGAGATTACTTTAAAACTTGAAGTTTTCCTTTGGGCTGAAATTTCTACAACGAACAGTACCAAAACTTAGACTCGCATGGCCACCAATGGCCAGGGCATCTTAAGCTACACACTCAAGGGTTCTTGTTGCAGAATTCTTTGCATGCTGGTGAGTTTTAGAATATGCCTGCATGCTTGGTTTTCCTTTTTAATTGGGTTACATGGTGTGAGGCTAAGTAAGAAATCTCTAGCACATCACAGTGGAGCTGACAATTTCTCCCAACCCACCATGATGTGTCTCCTCATTTCAAACCAGAGACCGTAAACAGACAAATCCATGAACTCATGTATTTGCAGCACCTTCTAGCATCCATATTTTTTATTACACTCTTGTTAAAAAGCAAATGTTAACACACATCCTTCATTGAAGTTCCCATCTTAAAGTGACAGACGTGTCACACACAGACTTCAAAATGTCAAGATGGACTAACAAGCAGTTGAAAAGGTAACTGAGACAGCTTGAGCATTAGGTTGGTTATTATAACCACAGAGACTGTCCCTAGTATTCCTACTCTTTTGGGGGAGGTCTCTCTATGGGAACACACTGTAGCTAGCCACCACACTGTTGCCTCGCAGCACTTAGGTTGCCTTACTCTTCCAGGTTCAAGGCCTCTCTGTTCTTACTAGGAAGAGAACACAGCCTCCAAGATTCAGAACTTCGTAACATAGGCCATGCAGGTAATTTGTATATTGAAGCCTTGATCTATATTTTGCATATGATTAAAATGTCGGGTTCTCTGAAAAACCTGGCTTAGTCATTATAGGGACTCACAGCCAGAGGATTCTGACACCTCTCTCTCAACTTTGCTCCCTTCTCCTTTGTTTGACAGATACTATCTTATGAGATGATGTTAATTACTCCATTCCTAGGGAGAAACAGCTTCTCTCCAAAAGAACTAACCATTAAAATGCAAATAGGTGTTTCCCACTTCACTGGTTAGCCAGGAAGGGCTTTAACAGCTCTTGGTAAGGGGCGGGAAGCTAGCTCAGTCAAGCTTCAACCTGGCCCTCTCAAGGAGGCAAGCTCAGCTTTGAGTATCATACCACTGAGGCCTCTAGCTCTGATCCCTCCCTTGTGGTGGCATTTATAAGTTAACACATAGACACCACTGAAGAAATTACAGAACCACAAAATAGCTGATTCTAGATTCTACTCATTGCACCCGGCCAGCTCTCACTTAGACTAATTACTTAAATGATTTAAACACCAATGAATATTCATATGCTGGTGCTTCTGAAAAACAAAGCACAGCTGAGCCCAGGCAGCCTCACCTCCCTTTCTCTTGTTTGGAGTGGTTCCACTCTTCACAACTGAATCAGCCCCTGGAAGGACTCAGAGAAGTCTGGGCAGGAAGGCCAGGGCAGCCAGTTTCACTGAGACATAGACCAGGACCTCCACTTCAGCAGCAGGTTCCTCTGCTTAGACTGCTGGAACTACTCTTACATGCTGTCCAGTCTGGTTCCTCCATCCTAGAACAATACACACTGTGGGGTGTGCTGACAAAGTTTGTGATGTGGAAGTTAAACAAGAACAGGCAGGGGGTGGTACCTGGGAGTGTCTAGGATGAGATGAGGACCTACCGTCCAACACTGTTGGTACTAGGGACACCAGTTCTTATAATGTAGAGACTTGGTGTAGAGACTTGGTCCTTCCTAGACACGATTTTGTTCTGGGAAATCTAAAAGGGAATCTATATCCCTTTTTGGCAGCCACGCTTCCTGCAATGTTCCAGCCATGGCCAGCCCACATCCAACCTCCAAGGCATGCTTTACTGGAATTGGAAGATGCCCTTGGGAACAACACAGCACATCACACACAGAGCACTATCCTCAGCAGACAGGACACTTCTGTTATTAGAAAAGGCAGGGGAAACTTATTTACTTTGTATCTTCTCTTGTTCTCACAGCATGCTGGAACTTTCAACAGGAAGTGGGGAAGGGACAAAGAATCTGGACTTAAAGCCAGAGCCCAGTGATTACTCCCAGGCTGGGAGTAACACAGAAAACCATGGTGATAAGAAATGATGAAACCCCTAATGCTCCAAGGACCAAAGCAATTGGAGACCTTCACAGCATCCACAAGACAGAGGGCCATCCCTTTGAAGGACACGCTTCTTATAATTCTGGAAGGATCAGGGACAGAGATTTATGTAAACTACCAGACCTCACAACAGGTCAATCTGTATTGTGCAGTTAGTGGCACAGAAAGATTTGGAGAACTCTGTCAAAACACCACTTTGCCACCAGGCTGAAAAAATTGCCTATCAGTTAGAACTTTCAGATTAGCTTTGTGTTTGCCATTTTCTATTTTGCAGGTGAAAATATTCAGGTGACCTACAAGGCATTGAAGTCTTTCTACACCTAAGGTTCCTGGGTCCAGTATTGGGAATCTAGAAGAGGGGATAGGGGCGCTACTCTGTGTCTCCCAGGAGCCCTAAGGTAGCTACGTTTAAAACACAAAATCAAAACCCAGCTTCAGGAATCCCCTGAGTAGGGTTAAGACAGCTACTGTATTTTCTTTCTTCTTTAGCATACCACTGAAAGACAGTCAGAGTGTGCTTTCATAATTTTGAAATGGAGTTTTAAGAGTGCATCAATCAACCTAGGAACTTCACTCTCAAATGCCTTGACTGTAGGACTTGGCGGAAATCTGTTAGGACAGACAGCTTATTCTCACTGGCACAACCCCTCAGGTTCAGTCACTAGCAGTTAAGGAATGATACCACAAAGCCTCATTTAATGTGAACTTCATCAGAAGCTCTGACTAGTATTTTTAAATCTACCAAATGCATATTGACATCTATTATCTGGAGAAAGCCGGCTATGATTTCTAAGTACCAACAAGTCACCATGTTGATTTCTGATCAGAGAGAAAGTCTCTTCCTACCACTCATGTGTTCTGTTTTGTGTCACTCATATTTTCCCATCAACAACCACAAAGAATATACATACAATCTCAAAACCATCTAACACATCCCTTGTAGCAGTTTGTCATCATCAGTCCAACACATGAGACACTATGGTGCTCTGTAGAAGGGCGGTACTCACCTTCTGGCTCTCCGCAAAGGGTGCACTGAGACTCTGTGGGGAGAAGACAGAGAGAAGGGTTAGCCATGACTGTGACTGCAGACTGCTCCTGAATGCAGGCAGCCACAGCAGTCTCCCACAACCTGAGACCCTGGCACAGAGCTGCACTGACTCTAGCAGCTCAGCAAGTTTTATCTAAAAGCTGGATTCGCAGATGCTTTGAGCATTAACTTTATTGAGATAGCAACCTCTTCATCATATGCATAAATGTACTTCTACTATGCTTTAATGACTGCACTTTCAAGCTACTTTGATGGAATTGGAATGGTGGTATTACCACTTTCAATAGCTAAATGTTTGACTATGGATCTATTTCAGTTACAGCTCTGATGATCTTCAGATATACAACGTATATCATATCTCAACAAAGACACTAAAATCCACCAACAATGATTGAATTCTCCACAAGTAATTCCAAGGTTGGCTCTCTAGAATGGACAAAGATGCACAGAACCATGTTATCTGCAGTATATGACACAGTGGGAAGTCACAGCACCTTGTGTGTGTGTGTGTGTGTGTGTGTGTGTGTGTGTGTGTGTGTGTGTGTGTGTGTGTGTAGGACAAGAGAAAAGCAAAGTCATTCCTGGGGAGGAGAGAGATATTCCAAAGTTTGACTCTCTGGCTCACTATAGTACCCTATATGGCATCCATTTGCCCCAGGCACACATAGGGTAAGAGGACATGGTTAGCTGGGTGTATACCTAGACAGAGTTTGGAATGCACAAGCATGATAATTTCTGTATCACTCAGTCATCATATACATAATATATATATTCATGGTAACCTTTGTGAGCACCCAAACACATATATAGGGTTACCAAAGGCATGGTAACTTCCATGTCCACCTAGACATAGTGATGGGGTAAACAGGCATGGTGACCTCTTTGTTCCCCCATATACTTTGGGTGCATGGGCATGGCAACCTCAGCATGTATCCAGATCCAGATCCAGAAGTACAATGGCACAGTGACCTCTGGGTAGGCAGACATACAGCAGGGTACAGAATGCCCAGTGACCCCCATGGAGCCCATGCAATGGAAAAGCAGCAGACCAGTGTGCAAATCTACCGTGCACACAAGGTGGGGGGGCTGCAGATCTGACAGGGATACTGCAAGTCCCACTGGAAATAGAAGTTAAAACTTGCATGGAATCAGTCCACACACTTGCATGATGCCCTCAGTATGGGCAATGCTCCCTTTATCCCGACACAGCCAGCAGAGATTCCACCATGAAAAGCCAAGAGTCAGTAAATATAGATAAACAGATAAATAAATATAACCTATTTCAGCCTCAACGTCCAGCCCAGAATCCAGGAGTTAGAAGCCATCTTGGGCTTTGGCCTGTACCATTGGTCTTAAGAAGAAAGTACAGCTATAAAAACCTATGCTAGGCCAGCTCCACAGAGGGTTAAAGTGTTTGCTAGGTAAGCTCTACAGACTGAGTTCAAATCCCCACAAGCCAAATAAAAGCTGGAAGCAGTAGCCCACCTATCTTTAATCCCAGTATACCCCCACAGAAATATGGGGAGTGGGAGTGAAGACAGGAATCATACGGGCAAGCTAGACCAGCACATACAGCAGTGAACAATAGATCCTACCTTAAACATGGTGGAAAGTGGGGACCAACACTAGGCACTGTTCTCTGATCACCATGTGTGCTCCTCTCTGAACTAACACTCATGTACATATAGACTCTATGATCCTCTCTCTCTCTCTCTCTCTCTTTCTCTCTCTCACACACACAGAGCCTATGTTGCCAGTTGGCTTTTTTTCAGTGCTCCAACTGGGGCCAAGATGTATCCCCAGGAAAGGAGCCCCTTCAACTTGAGCATGAAGTTTCTGAACTAGACCACAAGAATTGATTTGGCTACACTGTGAATTTGTCACCCTCACTGGCCTCCTTTAAAATAAGGAGACAACTCTACAAGGTTATGTCAATTAACATAGTGAGAAACCTGCTCATGATTTCACGTGTGCCCTACACACACACCTGCTCCAGATGCAGCCCCTTGAGAATCTGGTTATTCCCAGAGCTGCTGAGTGTCAAAAGCCGGAGCCAAAGCCACTGTTCTCTGGCATATGGTAAGTTCCTTATTTTAACCCCACAGGAAAGGAGGAGCCACCTCTCTGAATTGTGAAGCACACCTATCTATGGAAGGGATTTTAAATGCACCCACACATTTTAACAGCAGCCCCTTCCAGCTCTGTATGGGAAGTAACATGCATGCCCTCTCCATGCCTTGTCATGTGGAGAGCCCCTGTACACCAGCTCTCTCCCAACTGCAGAGCCAGCTCGAGAGTGAGAGTGCAGGAGGTGATGGCTTAAGGATGTAAGAGATAAAGCAGCTCTACCCTACCCCAAGCCCTGTGAGGAAAGAGCCTCGGGTGTGCACAGAAGCTTTGGTGCATGGCTGCTGACTCAGAGGCAATGCCCAAATCCAGAAATCTGGCAAGGCCAACCAGGAGTTCATTGACAGGCTTCTTCAAACCCATGTTCCAGTCTGCGTGCCACATGGGGGACAGTGCTCTGAGAAAGATGCCCCACCCCCGCCATGATCCCCAGCAGTGGGAAAGGGAGAGAAAGGACTGCAGGAGGAGGCATGGAGCACAGAGGCTGTGGGCAGTGCAAACACCAGGTCAGATGTTAGGGTGCTTGGCAACGATACTAATTAGCTTTTGTGTGCTCTCTCCTCTATCCTGAGATGCGATGACAATACAAGGGTACACTGAACGCTACTGGGGCCCTTCTTTGTCCTGTCTAAACCAGGCAATGTCCCAGAATGACTGGCCCTGGACATGAAGATCAGGAGTGAGAAACAGCTGCAGACCCCAACTGTGATTCTGCCAGAAACCCACAAATCAGAAAAGACTTTGCTAAGACATGGGGCCAGGCATCATTTGCCCAAGAACTTAGTATGATGCAGTCACATAGCATACACTATGTAACCACAGGGCAAAATGGCTATGTTGCACACAACCTTCTAACAACACAATATGATCATGCAACCATGTGACTGCAAAACAAGGACTTGGCCTAACATGTCAGGAACCTAACTATAAATCAATGAGGACAGTCCGGTGAATCATAATTGGTTTTTACAATAGGGCCTTTTGTATGGAATATTTCAAACACAAAAGCATAAGGAGGAAGGGTAAAACATTGAACTTTGCTTCCAGTTTCACTTTGAATGTGTTTCCTTTTGCTTTCTTTTGATTTTTTTCATGTTGTAGCTATTATTTGAGTATGTATGTATTTATGTGAGGATGTGTGTGTGTGTGTGTGTGTGTGTGTGTGTGTGTGTGTGTGTCCAGGCCACAGTGCAAATGTGGAGACTGGAGATCAGATTTTAGGTGCCTCTTCTTTCTACCATATGGGTTCCAGAAACTGAACTCAAGATTGTCAGGATTGACAGCAAGCACCTTCATCTGCTTAGCCATTGCCCCAGCTCTGCTTCTCAAGCTAACTTCAAATGTACTGTCATCGAGACTTGCTTCCTCCTTCCGCCTCCCCAAGTACTGAGATTACAGGCATGTGCCACGCTGTCCAGTTTACAGTATTGGGGACTAAGTTCAATGCGTTGTGCATGCATGCCAGGTAAGCACTCTACCAGCTGAACTACATCCTCAGCCCCCGGATGTGCTTTAGTGTTCATTCTGTAATATTTCCATAACACCAGTAAGGGATAGATGTGCTGTGACCTAGTGTTTGTAACATGTTCCTGGTGTACACTTAGTGGATGTGCAAGGAGAAGCCTGGAGTGGTAAACAGGAGTTACCTGTAAGTAAGAGTTATGCTAAGAGTACTTGGGAACTGCATGGAAAGGGAAACCAGAAAGAGTGAAGCTTTTAGTACTCTTAGCAGTTCACTTTAACTGCTAAGCAACTTTATGGCTTACATATTTCTGTACATAATGGGCTGTACTCATTGAGCCGTTCTAGAAGCAGGTGAGATGATGACCTTGGCCTAAACCCAGTTTGTTCTGATTACTTGCAAGTGTTAGCAATTTAAAGACAGAACTTACTAGTCTACAAAGACATGACTTGGGTCACCTAGGGAGGTGCCGACTGGAGCTAATCAGCATGAACCTGAGCCTGGGTGACCAGCAGGTCATCTTTATGGACATTATCCAAGACAGAATACGAAAATGTGGGAAAGCTCAATTTAGGACTCACACACAGAAACAGTCCATGTCAGAGGGGAAGCCCTTTGGAAATTCCAGACAGGGAGGAGCCCCGTTGTCTACAATAAACACAGCTAAGGGAGGCTCATCCATTCTAATGATTGCATGCATTACTTGACATTCTAAGTAAAATAAAACACCATGAAGGTAAACTCAGCAGTAGCTTTAGTAAAGTGTCAGCCATGGAACCCATACATACAAAGTCCTGGTGGCTGGTAGAAATGTTAGGCTGCCTTCTCCAAACAGCAACCCTGTGCCAGGGGCCCCAAAGCAGGAGCAGGAAAGCAGTATGGCCATTGCAGAGCTGGCCAGGTCCTTAGGGAATGAATTCACAGTCTCCCCCACCCCCATTCCAACCAAGGATTCTGAAATGCCTCAGTTGGTGGGAATGATTCTGGGGGCAGAGTCATCTGACTCAGAGTAAGACTGGCTTAAGAATGTTAAATAATTATTAGACTCTCCGGGGGAAACAGCATCTGGTTATTATTCAATCCAAATACGTGCTTCCTCCTGCAGAGCGCACCTGGGATTAAAGATCAGCAAAACTAGTGGCTTCCCAAGGAAAATCGATGTTTCTTTATTTTCGCACCACAGCTATCTACAGAAGGGGATGGTGTTCATCACTCGGCCATATCCATCCCTCCATGCTCCCGTGTGAACAACCAGTGCTCTTATTTCTCTCTTCAGTGAAGGAGAGGATTAGCAGCTTGCCAGTCGCCAGCCTCAGAGTCCTGGAGGAAATGGTAGCTTCTGACAAGTTTCAAAATATTTCATTCAGCAGCGAACACTAGCCTCTCCTCAGCCTTTGACAGAC